TATCGCCACTGTTATTATTATCGGTGGATGGTGGGATTAACCTGTTATCACCCTGCACTGGCATCGATGCATTAACTGGAAATGATAATGATTGTTGAGCCTGTCTCTTTTCAATTTCTTGTTTGATTAGCCTTCTTGGAAAACTAAGGAAAATCCGGAGTTTGCTTAGATCCAAATTTAAAGAAGACACTTCAGACTAGTTACCTATCGAACAAAATCGATAGACTGATATGTCAATTTCGGCAACCACAACGTTGTTTTCCAAAGATTGCCGGAAAACAGGATCTTCCGAAGAGTTTCAAAACTACTCTGAAGACTTAGTGAAAGTTGTGGGAAAGTGTCTATTTCCAGAACCTGAAAACCGCAGAGCGCTATTACTTTTCTATCAGAAGTTATTCGTCGTTGGCGTCGATAATAGTAGTTTTTGTGAATTAATCATCTAATGTTTAAAATCGAGGCCTACATTAAAGATGTATAAGTCGAACAAACAAAATCATGTAATTTACGTAAATGAATTTTTATGTTGCCTTTGCAGATCTCCAATGTAGATGAGTTTTCGTATAACCAGAAGTTCAACTTTATAGAAAAAAACTACATTTGTATTTCTACATTTGTTTACTTTGATTGAAATATAGCTTTGCCTAATTTTTTTGTGACTTATTCTCACAATTGTCATAGCTGACAATATTCCATGTCACCACAATCTCGCGCACACTTTTTTTTTGTTTTTCTATGTTTTCTGCTATCACCGCCAAAACAAGTAAGAAAAATGCTTTTTTTTTACCTGAAAATAATTGGATAAACTGTCAAAGCCGTTTATTAAACGCTGATAACAAGCATTAAAGTCAAATGTAATATATCATGAGAAAGCATTTTGAATTCCCTACAAATAGACATGTTTAAAAATACAAAATCATTTTTTTCGTACAGAAATATAGGAGCAAATCATGATGCGCAGTAAAAGATACGTATACAGTAAATGTTTATTTGTTTCTCAAATACTATAAGTCGAATAGTTATGTCCCATATACCAAATTGTAGATGAAGAGTTCCTTAACAAATCGGCCTGTTAAACGAATGTGAACAACGTATCTGCAAAAAACTGTGATCAATCGAAAATGGGTCATTTTTTGAACAAAGTAAAATAAAACTACTCTAACTCAGCAGTAGGCTAACGGTGGCAGCTAAAAATATCATATTTGTGATAAGCGCACTTAGCTCTACCAGATCCCATGTATTTCTTCAAAATCCCAAGGGACACTTCGGATCTTCCCTCGTTAGTGGCACTTCTAGCAGTTTTTTATTTAGTTGCCACCCCTAGGGAGTGTGGGGTGGTATTTCTTATCAAAGATTATTCCCTAAACAATCTTCGATCTTCATTGATGAACGGTTAGACTCGATAAGACCACAAGGTGATGATAATCGTAATAAAATGTATTTTACTGGTGAACGATATGCAAAATTTATTCAAACTATTGTAGCAGAAAAAGCAGCTAAAGAATTAGGTGATTTACAAAATGCTATTTTTCAGGACGATCAAGATCGTAAACAAAGGACATGGACGGCTTTAAATGCTGTTAAACATGTTTCTATCAATCGTATTGAACCAGTAGATTCTGCTGCAAACTGGCTGACATTTGGCCTATAGAAAACGTGTGGGGTATGTTGAAAGAGAAATTACGAGGACGTGAATACAACGATATCGAACAATTGAAAAACGCCATAAAAAAGGAATGAAAGAAAGGTTAGTGTTTCCGTATGTCAACGAATGATAGATAAAATACCAGCACGATTAAAATTACTTATCGATCAAGGTGGTAATCAAATACAGAAACAGTGACAATTTTTTGTCTTTAAAAATTGTATTGTTTTTAGAATAATGATCGAGATGATGACGAAAATTTCGAAAGTAGTACATGACAGTGTTGTTATAGTTTCTCATCCATAGTAACAGCTATAAATCTCAAACTTCGTTGTTACCTACTACCGTATATATTTACAATAATTAGTGGAAGTTTTAAAGAGTTAGTTTTTGTTAAACGTGAGAACGATGAATTTCAAAATTGTTTTAAAACTTCCGGAACATCCTGTATATCAAATTTTAGCTGCTCGCAATTTTTAAAAATAGTACATGACAGTGTTGTTACAGTTTCTCCACCGTGGTAAAAGCTGTAGACCTCAAACTTTGTAATTATATAGTACTACATATGTACAACAATCTGTGAAAGTTTCAAAGAGTTTTTTTTGTTAAACGCGAGAATGATGAATCTCAAAATCGTTTCAGAACTTCCGGAACGCCCTTTACATATTGGAATTGCTTTGACCTTTAGGAATAAAGAAAAACAAAAATTACATTCAGTTCCCAAATCAAATGATAAATGCAACAGCGCTCACTTTCAGCCATAAATGAAATAAAAAATTTCTTAGAGTAAGATAATGTGACAATAGGACAGTAATACTTATCTATACAAAGGAAAAGACGTGCCTTATGGCGCTTGTCATAAAAAAAGACCTCGAATCGTTAACAATTGTTATACATTTTCTACTACAACTGAGCTGCATAACGAGCAGAAATATGTCGTTCAAAGTCGTCAATACACCTTTCCATCTAACTTGAACTGTATATGTGTCAGAATAGAAATTTCAACAAAATAGCTAATCTGCTAATTGTAGTACTACTTATCCTAACTCATTTATCGAGACATTGCTAGCGTTTCTTCTTAATTTAGAATAGCAATCTCATCTCAAACTAAAATCCAAACCTTGCTTCGATGACCTAAAAGTTTAAGTTTCAATTTCCAAATTTTGACTTTTCCATTTGAACGGAAATATCAAAGGTTCTTCAGAATAGCATGTAGCATAAGCAAATCATTACCACACACACGGTTATTATCTTTCTTCAATCATCAACTTAATGTCAGAAAGCATAATAAGTGGTCAGGTTATTTTGTTTCTGTGTTTGATTATGGATGCAATAGGGCTTTATTTTTTATTGAAAAACCAACAGACAATACAGGAAAAAAGCCAAAACAAAAGGTTAGTCATTGTGGCCACGAATCTTCTCTAGTTGTTGAGTATGCGCCTTCGTAGGCAGTTTTTATCCAACAAGCAATTGCAGAGCACGTCGGACTGACAGGTTTATGTGGTAACGAGTTGCACTATGCCAGCCACCCCTTTGACCGATCTATAAACGGCTGGCGTTTCTCTTCACCTAAGCTGGCACGATTTTTGTCACATAATTATAACTCTTTCTTCCATGAAAGATCTATTTCTGTCAGCCTTTTTATTAATTCTCGATATTCAAGAATATAGAAAACATTGGAGAACGACGATGGTTGCACATTGGAATAACGTTGGTTAAGTAAATCTAAAGATGAAAGGACGGGGGCGATTATTTGATGAAATCGGCCCCTGGTCGAAATCCATCGAAACACACATGGTTAGATGCAGAATAAACAGGAGAACATTTCTAGCCACTCGACACACCTTGGAGTTACCCTAAGAAAAAACTAGGTCGAATTTACCGTAACCAAAGTTCTCCTCTTCTTTCTTCAAGGGGGGCGATCCTGTCCTCTACACTCGACGACTAACCACGCCGATACATATACCATTCGATAGAAAATTTCTCGCGCTACAATTGCACATATATAAACTAGAGAGAAAAGTGTCCTAGAGCACTTTGACATTAGCAATACTTTATGCAAAGCCGCAGCAAGTGGGTGATTTATTGAACGGAGACGATCCTGTACCCCACACCTGACCACTATCCACGACCATGCATATACCATTCGATAGAGAATTTCTCGCGCTACAATTGAATATATATAAACTAGACAGAAAAGTCTCCTAGGGATCCTTGACATTGGAAATACTTTATGCAAAGCCGCAGCAAGTGGGTGATTTATTGAACGGAGACCATCCTGTGCTCCACACTTGACCACTATCCACGACGATACATATACCATTCGATAGAGAATTTCTCGCGCTACAATTCCATATATATTTAAAGTAATTAAAAAAGTGTCCTAGGGCACCTTGACATTAGAAATACTGTCGCGAAAGCTGGGAAAGATCGGTGGCTTATTTGACGGTGACGATTCTGTGCTCCACATTTGTCCACTAACCACGACGATACATATACCATTCAATAGAGAATTTCACGAGCTTCAAGGTGAGCGATAAACAAGTCTTTCAGAAATATGAGCCGGTCACAATATACAGACCGCTGGGGCCTGTCATTAAAGATATTGAAAAGAAAGTTTTGGGTATTATCTTTAGCAGTACCGTGTGTCATAATCACAAGAACTCCCTTGTTTTTGACCTTTTAGTAGAAGCTGGGACCAATCTGAATAGTGTTTTGAAAAGTCCGAAGATTTTTCTATCAGATTAGGTGCATGTCCGCCTTTCATGAGAAAAGTTGATAATAGAGCTTCCGGAAAACCTGCCTGCTTAAAAACCAAAAGCTTAGTTTTTAGTGAAAAAATTTTGGACGCCAAATAGCCTGAT